GATTTAGATCCAGTAGAAAAAAAGAAAAAAAAAATTCAACATCTTCATCAACACAGCCAACAGCCAACAAATTTCCCCTCTTCATTTTCAGCTCCATATCCAGAAAAAAAAAAAAAAAAGAGTGGCGAGTGGCGATCGACACCCACCGGCGATCACCGCCATCACTGTCGAAGCCATCACCGTCTTTTCCCCTTCTTCTCTCTTCCTCTTCTCTTCTCTCCTCTCTCTATCTCTCTCTCTCACCTCTCTTCCTCTGTATTCAAAAGCAACCACAGAAAGAAAGAAAAAGAAAGAAAAGGAAAAAAAAAAAACAGCAGTGCTACGTAGCTCGAATCCCCCTAATAAAAAACGACGCCGTTTTTGCTCTTTTATTATTTTTTTTTTTTGCAGATCAGAAGAACGAACGAACGAATGAAGAAGAAGAATGAAGAAGGAAGAAAAGAGGAGGAGGAGAAGGAGGAAGGACTGGAGGGGGCATAATATTCGGGGGAGGAGGAGGCGGAAGTGGAGGCGGGGTGACGGCGGTTGGAGGCTGCAGCGGGGCTGCGACGTCGGAGCTGCTGCAACGGAGGCACAGGAGGGGACGATCAGTGGCGAAGCTGCTTCTCTCCTCTCCTCTCTCTTTCTCCCTCTCTTCTCCTCTCCTCTTTTTCTCTTCTCTTTTTCTCTCTCTTCCTCTTCCTCTGCAGACTGAAAATGGAAGAAAAAAAAGAAAAAAGAAAAAAGAAAAAGCCTAATGCCCAAAACGATATCGTTTTGGGCATTAGGGAGATTGGGGGGGAAGGATTTTCGAGCTCTCAAACGTTATTCAAAAAAAAAATAAAACCCAAAACAACGTCGTTTTAGATTTCGAACCAATTTGAGCCAACGAGAATCCGGGACCTCAAACATTTTTGAATTAAAATACTTTATTTATATGAAGTCAACTCTTGAAAACAGAGCCTACTGACTTTTTGAGGAAATATAAACTGCATTTATAAACGAACTAAACAAAGAATTGAAATATACAAGAAGTAAATAGATATAATTAGAAGAGCATCGGCTGGAAAATAAAAAGAAATAAGCCCAAACAGCTACCCAAAACGAAGACACCCCGGGCCACAACCAGAAAATACATTGAACTTCTGCAAGAAAACCAAAAATCATAAGATAGAGCACAAAATTAGGGGTGAGTATGGTTCGGATTGATCCGGATTGAGGTAAAATCAGGATCAATCCGTTATTTACGGTTTTTGAAAAATTAGAACCAATCCAATCCTTTTAAATCATGGAACCAATCCGAACCAATCCATTTAAACACGGATTTGATCGGTTTAGAATCACAGATTCACATAATTAAATAACAAAAAAAATATAAAATATTTTAATTTCATAAAAACATAAACATAGCATCAAACAAAAGTAATTAATAAAAGCAACAAACAAAAACAATAAAACTAGATACACATTACACAAAGCAGAGTTCTCCTCTGTATTAAAACTAAACATAGCATCAAACAAAAGCCATAAAAAATGATGTTATGTGGGAGGGTCTATAGTATAAATATAAACTATTTGTATATGATTCAGATCGGTTCCAATCCGAAATTGTGGGATTCAATCCGGAATCGATCTGTGACCTACGGATTTTTAAATTTTCAATCCAGAACCAAACCACGAATTCAAAAAATAATCCAAACCTACCGAATTAAACTGAATCAAATCAAATTACAGATTATACGAATTTCTCAGCCCTCCACAAAACAGCAAGGGCATAATTAAAAGATGCCACGACACTCTCTTTCTCTTGCCATGAGACTACTGACTTAAATGGAAGGTTAAGGTTGGCATCAACTCTTTCCACAAATCATTGTCTCTCCAACATCATCATCTAATAACAACAAATTTGTTGTTTATAGCAATTTAACATGAAAAATATTATATGCATTAATTAGTATATTAACAGATGATGTGACATTATTTTAAAGATTTTGATATTTGTAATTTGTATAATAAATTGAGTTAGTAATAATATAATAACGTATGTTAGTACACTAGTTAACATACTAATTGGTGTATGAAACACCACCGATTTAGCATATAGATGTTAGACAAGAATCTAGAAGCAAGCCAAGAGCCTTTCTCTCTATCAATTGGAATTGACTTTAATAATCGATTTCTTCTTTCTTTTTCTTTTTTTTAATACGTAATTGGTTTGATAAAATTTATGTCCTAAAATTATTTAAATTTACTCATAAGATGCGATTATAAGTTTTATATTGATTCTCTATTTATCATAACTCATGTTATCCCAAGATGATATTAGCATGAGAAGACCATAGATGTGTAATTTTTAAATTGATTTGTCAATATACTTTTTTATTGCTTGATATGTTGAGATTCTCAAAATCTTAACAGAATTTTTTTTTAAAATAAATAAAATATAACTCAGTTATGTTAAAATAAAAATAAAAAACATACAGAAAGTCTTATTGTAGAAAGAAAAAAGATGAAGACAAGACTAGACTTCGGTGTCATTTGGGTGGGGGCGGTTGGCAACAGGCAAAACAAGTCAACTTTTGCTAAAAGAAAAAAAAATAAAAATAAAAATCACAAAGTAATTTGTCATCGGTGGAAAAAAATAAAACAAAACAAAACAAAATAAAATAAAACGAAATATCACAATAATTTTTTTACTCAAAATAATAACTTTTTAAACATCTTTCCAAACACACAAATAATTTAAAAACATCTTTCCAAACACAATAATTTAAAATAATTTCGCTAAGTAAATTAAATTTCTTCAGCCATGAATGACCTGAATGTAAAGAACTAGCGTCGTGAAAACCACACATTTAGAGAAGAGAGAGGGGAGGAGATTGACTAGGGGCTTGTTGTCTAGGTCCCACAGAACCACCACTTTCTTGAATCCAATCCTTTTCATGCAATACAAGCTTGTGATATTCTCTCTCTCCTCAACTGGAATTGGAGACACCACTGGAAGTGATTTTCAAAGATGTGGGAGCAGCTATTGAAGATTTGAAGATTTGAAGATTTGTTAAGAGAGAGATAAAGCAAGCAACGTTCATCACCTCTAACCTCAAATCTCACCATCAAATTTGAAGGGGCAAAGTATAATTAGGTCGGATCCAAGCTTTGAGTCGGTCCAATTCATTAAGCCTAGATCCAAGTGGGCTAGGCGAACGTATGGGCCAACCAGCTATGCCCATTTCCATGAAGAATGATCGTCCCAAGTCCTCAAGCACTTGGGCCCAATACGCAGTGAAAAGGCCATTCCAACCGCAATGCTGGGCTGGGCCGAGCTGACAAACTTGATCCATAGACCAAACTGATGGGTCAAACTCATCCTCAGAACCAAAGTGGGCCGAGCCCACACAAAAATATTCAAATGAGCTAGCCCATCTCAGCAAATAATCTTACAAAAGGCTGAGCTAATGCACATCTGTACCAAACTGAGGAAGCCTCTCAGATAAACGTGGAGGTTGTGAATACATGCAAAAGAAGACTACCACCTCAGCTGATCGCCCCGCTCCTGGAATTACAGAAGCAGTTAGCAAAAAAAATGTGATCTGTTATATACATGGTTGCAATGAGCAAATGTATCTATAGTCAACTACCCTGAGATCTCCCATCTTGAGCAATGTTAAGGGAAGCTTTGAGACATCAAAGCTCAATGAAACCATCTTAGACAACAAGCAAAGTATTCTATATAAACCCCACTCTCTTCATATTGAAGGTAACTTAATTGAACTTAACTCCAGTTGATTGAACAAAAACACTCTTATTTCCCTCTCTCTGCACTCAGAGAGAGTCCTTCATCTTTTCTAATCACTCATTCCCACACCGAAGGGGTTTTTCAGCCTACCCCGACCTGGCAGTTTTGAAGGTGTTCTATGTTGCAAGTCCCCAATTTCTGGATAGTCTATTTCACTTGCAGAGCCCCGATCCACTTTCATCTAGTGTGGGAATCAGTACACACAAAACCGACTTCTTATTCTTCCTTTTCTTCCTCCTTTCTCTCTCTAAAAACTACCAAATCACACCCGCTACAAAATAAATCCAAATTCAAACTCAAAAAGAAAATTGATAAACTAGATCTAGATCAAAATATAAATCCTCCAATTAAGACAAGATTGTAAAACCCAAAAGCCGTTGCCTTTCTTTCCTCTCCAAAACAAACCAAGAGTGTAAAAAAAATAAAAATAAAAAAGAGCATTAAAAAAGGCAAAGGCTTGAATTCAATCAAAACAAAACAAAACAATCTTGATTGAAAAACAAGCCTTTGTTATCAAAACAAGCCAGTGTACAAAAAAAAAAAAAAATCTAGAGAGACAAAAACAGTGGAGATTATCACAAGATGAAGAAAGATGATTATGTTCTGCACTCAACAGGGTTTGGTGGGCTATTCAGATTCGCAGATGATGTTGCGCACTGTCCACCTCTCTTCGGAATCTCCACCGCCAACGATGTTGCACTCTTTGAAATCTTCACTGCATGCAATAACCAGATTTCCTTCATCAACTTTGGGTATGAGGGATAAAGAGGAGAGAAAAGAAAGATAGAGAGAGAAAAGGTCTATGTGCGCATGAATCCAAATGGAGAGAGAGGGTCTCAAACCCAATATTCGGGCCATTCGGCGGTCAATTTTTGAGCTACAAATCATTTTTCAATTTAAAAAGTCATTAAAAAAAACAACAATGATTCATCCCCTTTTTCTTTCCACCCCTTTGACCCCCCTCTCTCTCATTGGTTACATTTTCTTTTTATTTTTCTTTTTTTTCCTGCTCCTCCAATCACCACCCGCCACGTGGCAAAGGGGAGTGAGGGGGTGACCTCCAAAAGGGAGTCCCAAGCATTATTCTAAAAAAAAGTAAAAAAGCAAAACACAAGAATCGCCAACCTCAAACAACCACTTAAAAACTGTACACAACATAGACAGAGTTAGCTTAGGAGCAAGTGCTACATTTAATTGTGCCACGCATTGATCAATTGCTTGCTAGTGATAAAATCAAGAACGTTTATATATAACATGGGAAAATTTATCCTCAATTTATCCTCAATCCAATGCTTTTCAAAAGAATAAAAATACAAAACGAAAACATAACCAACAGAGCAGGAGATATAAGTACTTTTTTTCTCTATGGGAACAGTCTTGACAATCATGTCCATTAATCTTTAAGACCACTGATTTTTATAATTCAAACATGATCAGCAAGAAAACATTGCTTGATTTTTGTTGCTCATAATATGTTAATTCTTCTTTTTAACAAGTCCAAATAAAAAAGTAGTACACAACGATTTAAATCTTCAGTATCACTCTTCAAGAAGCTTTCAGGTCATCCATTCCAACACTAGCCTGCAGAATAAAATCATCTATTTAGCAACTAAGCTTTCTTCACAGAATTAATAATAAAAAATTGAAAAAACATTTATATAAAGATCTTACCAAGAAATTGTGGTTCTCTTCGAGAAATGGAGAGAAGTTTGTGCAAAATTTTTCAATATCAAGATTAGCATCACCAGTGCCCCCTATGACATCCAAGAATTTCTTCCTATCAGGAGCGAGTTTCATGGCAACCTGTAATTCCAATTTATGATAATCAGAAGGTTTTGATAATTAAAAAAAATAAAAGATTAATAATATTTATAAAAAAAAAGAGTAAGAAAACATATGATTGAAGAATTCGCAATTTCTGTAATATTAGCTACAAGAAGAGACACACATCTCTCTTTTTTCTTCACAAGTCTTCATACTAATCTTGCGAGCATTGCATCTTTCTTTTTTTCGTGTCAATAAGATTTAAGATTTCTCCCCAAATTTCTTCAGGATTTGAAGAATGATATTCTCAATGTCTTTCTGTTTTCTCAGGAGTACTGTAAAAAGTTCTCAGTATCTTCTATGCAAATACATTTTGTCACTGAAAAACATCCAACTGACACCATGCTTACAGTTAATTTTACATCATAAATCTTGAGCAGATGCCAATTAGGTTTTTTCTGGAATCTATAATTCTAGTATGAAACTAAAATGAAAATTGCTCTCAAAGTATTACACATTTGGATTTGCAATTCAACGGGGTCGTATGATGAGTTCTTCAGGACTCAAAATAAGGGTTCTAACCGAAGTATTTGTACATATCATTTGGTATTATATTCTATTGTAGGTCTGTACCGTAAAACTTGAGCTGGCTAGCCAGCCATGCCATTTCTTCAGTGTCTTTCCGTAAGAATCACTGCAAGCTTGTGACATAGTCCAGTCCTGATGCTCCAGTAAGTTGCGGAACAATTCCACCAGAAAGTCCATGGCCCTGATAAAGTTGTCCACCACAGCATATCTTAGCATACAGGCCAATTTTAATAACGAACATAAATCAATCCAAGCAAGCATGCATGGACCCTAGATAGAGCAGACCTAATATGCAACAAAATGCCCATCCATATGAAAAAGCAAACAGATTAAGTGCACGCTATAAAATATTGCTCACCTTGTTAACCAAAGAAGACCATTGGTGCAGCTAGATGAAGCTTTTGCTGTCTTTGCTTCAATCTCTGCTTGTACCATGCTGTACAAGTGATTGAATTCTGATGGGTTGGACAAATACTTGTTTTCCAACCTCTTCGGAAAAATAGATGTATACATCAGTCACTTAAACTATCGACTGAAATTTAACATAAAACTGGGAGATTGATTTTAAAACAGCAAACATAGATCAAATAATAGTTAAGCTGGGAGGCCTACCCCAGCCCCAACACATCTATTATTTGGTTTTTGTCAAATAGGAAAAATTCCGAATGGACTCTCTATTGGTTTTGTGCATCTTGGAGAATCTGAGGGGTAGATTGCCAAAAAATTTATCATAATGACCTTGCTCACAAAATATCTACAATTTTCTTAGACCTAAAAGTGGATAGAATATATTCTCATATTCCAGAGTAAGTTTGTGGTCTTAAACAACAGAAAATAAGCAATAGGGGAACCCATGAATGAAAAATGTCTTACTGTGATATTACCACCAATGTCTGATTTTACAAGTGCCATAGCAGCTCCAAACTTGTCTGGCATCATACATATGAAATAACATTATACATTATTACTAAATCCATGATAGAAATACTACAGCACAAAAAAAGTAAAAAGAAAAACAGGAAAAAGGACCACTGAAATTCATCTTAAGTAACAGAGGCATCAAAGCATAACAGGGGGGAAAGAAAACACAAAAGCAGACCACCAATGCAAGGGAACAAAAGCATAACAAAATCAAACCCCACAAAAATATGTCAAAACACTGCAACAAAGAATGAAGATTGACTTTGATTGAAGAATAATAAATTGGGCCTCCTTCTATTAAATCAATTCGGTGAGTCACCATCTGATGGTATCAACAATACGATAAGGCACTAAACCAAACCATAATAATCACCTCTCTTTTGTAGACATATAGTAACACTAATACCTCACAATTGTACAAACCTTAACATCCCAAACAATTATGTCCCACCAAGTAAAATTGCCAAAATTACAAATCAATGACATACTCAAAAGTCTGAAACAAAGACAAACACAAGAATTTACACAAGCATTAATGTAGAACTCTACCCCCAAAATAATAATAATAATAATAATAATAGTAAGAATAACCTAAGAAGCAATGTGAACCTTTAACTTATAAATCAAAGAAGCATAAAATTAGGCCATTCTCCAGATAAAGGTTGATATATCATACCTATAACAGGTAATATTTGTTTGCAGACTTCCAAGAAAGGCTTAGTAAGCATTACGTCTTCTTCAGACTTGACATGTTTCATTCCTTCTAAAGCAGGAGTGAACACTGTCACTTCCATTCTTGTGCTTTACTACAGTAACATTTGATATCAGACCAAATTTAACACTTGATTGAAAAAAATAATGAGGAACAAACACTTGTGTGCACTTTGCACATCATTTAATCAATGTGGTATTAAACTTTGGTGTATATATAAATTAAACACCTTTTTATCTAAAGATGGAACACACATAATTTGGAAATTGAGAATAAGAATATGATAATATAGGCCCATACAGAGTATGGTCAATTGGTTAGTTAACGTAACACCAATAAAATTTGTTATGTTATCGTAAAACATAGTGCTGACAACAACTTAAATAAATCAGTACATAGCAATGAAGTTCATATCCAGGATCATAGAAACAAAACTGATCACTGGGTTAATCAGTACAAACCAAAACATTTGTCATTGCATCAGAAAACCACGACAGCATAAAGACTCCAACCAAAAGATTCTACGATGCTCAGTAATGAAAGAAGATAAGAGAACACTTGCATGAACAATCAACTAAGTTAGACCACTGAAGCTTGATACTAATTTAAAATTCTATATTATAAAAATTGCTACCACTTTGATCAATCAGGGTTAGTTATGGAAACTCTCTCTTAACCCTCTGGCTGGATACCAAGAAAAATGCTAGAAGAGCAAAGAAAATAACTTTTCAGTCTCATAATTCTCAGTATCTGGATCCAGGAAAACAACAAACTCCACTCACTCAACCAAGTCTAATAGAAAGAGCTAATCAAGTTCAGTCTTTCAATCTTCTGCGAAACCAAAAGATCACTCAACAAAACAATCCTGAAAATAAAAACTCTTTGGACTAAATTTGGATTAGTGGATTTAAAATGAGTGATTCGTGCTTGATTGCCCAATGAACTTTTGATTGTCCAATGAAAAGCCTTAGTTTGTTGTGAAGTTGAGCCTTTCATAGGACTTTATATGAATTTTATCTTTTGCAAAACCAAAAGATCAATTAGATTATCTTAATCAATTCTTTTCCTTTCCTCAGTTTTCTATGCAATCAAAGTCCAATGAAATGCCGGAACTTACTTTCTATGGTATGGATCCAATTACAGGATAAAGTAAAGCAAATGCAGAAGAAGAAACCTTAACAATATATTTGGAACCTGGATTTGCATAGAAAGAAAGAAAATCAAAATGAAAATAGATCCGAAACTAAAAATAAAAATATCAAAAAATAATTTGAATATGTACAAGTAATTTCATTTCACTCTGATCTTTTTTATCCTTCAAATTCACATAAAGCAAAAGTACTAAAACAACAAATTGAACAAAAACAACCACAAGATCGATCCAAAGATCTGCACAGAGAAGATCTATATCGAAAATTACCTCGAATTAGCAAACAAGACCTGAAAATTCACAATAAACTATAATTAAGTAGAAATGCAACACAGATCTAAAACACAACTATATATACACGAATCCATACATATGAAAATGGAACAGTGAATGAAAATTGAGAGTGTAGATCGGATGGCTAAAATTCATACCAATTTCAGTCACACTGACACTCACCGTTGATTACTTTCGAAGTACGCCACTTTGAATCGAACAATTTAGAGAGAGAGAGAGAGAGAGAGAGAACTCACAGCTTTCTACGCGTAGTCGGAATAAGCGAATGCAGCGATTCTTTTTCCTACCGATTTCTGCGAGAACTCGTGTACTTTTATTTTGACTGTTCTCGTAAAATTTCGGAACAGTCGAAACGCTGTCGTTTACGGGATACGAAATGGGCCCCCAATAGTTTTGAGTGTAGCCCACTTTCTTAGGCCCAAGTTTCAAGGCTTCGTTTGAAATTTTAGAGGCATTAACGGGCTTCCATTTGTAAAAATTTAAAATTTTAAAAAGGAAAAAATGAGAATAATAATTTGATTTTGAGAGTTTGTCGAGTTTGATTTGATTTTAAAATTTCAGAATATTCTTCAAAGTAACTTTTATAAAATATGTAAGAGACAAAATAAATTCATCATATTATATAGTAATTATTATAAAAATATGTTTTTCAATAATATAAGGAGAGAAAAAAAAAATCTTATATAGAAGACCATACACATTAACATTAATAAAAATGTGGAATGATTTATTTCATTCAGTTAAAAGAGCTTTAATACATAAATTCAACTGTAATCAACCATTCTAAATTTTTTAAAACAGGGCCGAACACCCCCTTCTCAAATTACACCCATTTATTTAACTAGATCATCTATGGCAAGTTTTTATTTATTTGGGATTCCATTACATATTATTTTCTCTTGGTGTTTATTTATTTATTTTTTTGTTGGTTAAAAAAGAGGAATCAAATGTATAATTTTCACTGTTGTTACTTTTTTTTTTGAACAAAAGGATCAATAATTTGAGCAAACAAGTTGGGACTCTCATTACTAATTAATAAACTTACTATGTTGCTATTTGATTTAATTAAAATTTCTAACTGAGAAAATGATCAAAAGTTCAAAAATCATAAGTCCATTTACTATGAAAATTGAAAAGAGAGAAAAAAAACATCCCCCCAAAAAAAAAACAGTTCCAAGTAACATATGCTCAAATATTTCGTATCAAGATTTTTTAATTTTTTTTTCCCGCAAATTAGTAAAAACAACGAAAACTATGCCAAAAGTACACTCCTTTGTCTTCAGTACTAACCAAATCACTGATGGCAATTTTATCTGTTTCACAAAGATGAACATAACTTCCAACACAGGTGGTGTTGAGGGTGTCTATCTCCTTCAAAGCCCATAAACACTTGCACTCTGTTTGTTTAGGCAGAAAAAAACATATTTTATAGAAAATATTTTCTACAAATATGCAACAAACCATCAACAACAGAGAACTCTAAGACACTCACTAACTTATGTTGAGACTAAAAAAATGCATTTAAACCTCACAATCATCAAAGTGGCTCCCCCAAGAATACATATCAAATATACAATTTCAACCTGATCCAATAATGTTTTAGTTAAACACAGCTTATTACAGGGCTCTCAATCCAAATTAGGACAATCCCAATTCAAGGGCAACATTCAACAACACAACTTTTGGCAATAAACCATGGAAGCAGAGCAAATCTGCAGAACATGTCAAGCCAAAAAGGGCGCTCTTGTGATCTCACTGATACAAATTCTCTCAGACATTTGCTGAAGCAAGTTGCGCTGCATATCCATCTCATTTCAATTTCTCATATACAGAGAGAGAGAGAGAGAGAGAGAGAGAGAGAGAGAGAGAGAGAGAAAATATGAAATGCTTATACTAAGAAAATGATAATCCAAATGGACAGAAAGAATTGAGTGAACCTCAATCAAATATACATGTTGCCGATGCTCCAAAGCATTCAACTATAATTGCTTCACCTGCATGCACAGGGAAGCAGTGAGGCTTTAGGATATCTAAATGATACGTGCCAAAAAAAATAAAAATAAAAAGAGAGTTTAACAAAATGGAATATACAAGGATGCACTTGCCTTGCTTAGGTATTTTTCCTGAATATTCAATGCGTCATTCAATGCTTTTTTCACATCCAAATGTGCAGTTATGTCGCCCACAATCTGGAAAAAGAAAGTTCATATATGTTATAAATAAAGAAACATCTAACCACAGAAACGAAGAGAGAAGGAAAGGGAGTTGGGAAGGGAGGGGCACCTCAACAACATCATCTGGACCCTTAGCCTCTGTCAGAAGTCGTTTATTCTTGGTCTCGAGGACACTTGCAACAAGAAAAACAGCGAGAGGACTCTTTTGTTCTGTCTGTCCAGTCTCTATAATTTTCCTCTCAAATTTCCCATACTGCTTTAGCAGCTTACTATCTATGTTGGATGCAACATTCTTATCTGCACCCACATTTGATCTAGACCTCGACATCTCATATAATGTAAAGATGTTTGGATTGTATTCCATGGCCCACATCACCTGAAAATATCTTAATTTTAGACACTCGTGTCAATAGTACAGTCAAAAGATTCCCAATAGGCAAAGCACATTGAAATCCTATGGTACCTGGACGCGGGTATAAGTATTGGGTGTTGGGGCATGTCCAAGCGTCAAATCTTCCTAAATCTAAATCTCAAGATATTGGGATATGAATCCAAAAGTCGGGTATAGATACACGGACATGTCATAAACACTTGAATGTATTGGATATTATAAAATATTCTTAAATAAGATGTTGTAAATTATTTTAAAATGTAAATGAGATTTAGGAGAAAATATGGAATTTATATCTCACATTTGTGTGAGAAGCTAATACTAGCAAATGTGAGCATCTTTTTCTTCAAAATCGTATAAAATTAGAGGAAGTGTCTAAATTGAGTACGGGGTGTCAGACTCATGTACCACATGCTTATCATAATTGGTGGACACGGGTACAATAGGAGAAATAAAAGAGTCCATGTAACATAGCTAAAATCCATGACCTTATCTCAAGGCTTTCAGAATCATGGCTTTTCACAAATGGAAGAGAGGCCATTTATGGGGGTAATCAAACAAGGACATAGCTTCTCCCTTACCTCCCAAAGGTGCAATGCATCTACAAATGACAACTCTCTCCGGAAAAGTACCATCAGCATACGGAGCGCAAACAGATACTCCCCACCATCTAGTTCCTCTGCCAAAAATATAAATAAGAAATTAGTTGATAAACAAGGCCTATTTTCGTGCACAAAGAAAGAGAGTATATTCACTATCTATTGCTACACATTCTTTTCATGAATTGTGCATTTCTTCTCTCTTTTCCTTTTCCTAAATTTATGGGCAAAGGGTGTAATCCACAAAGCAGCAAAAGATTGTCCTGGCATTATAACTCAAGAGTTCAGTTATCAAGTTCTCTTGTGCTGATGTTATTTGGGCTTTACTCATTTTTCTCCTCTACAAAAGAACTTTCGTCTTAACAAACTATATAGAGTCAAATTCTGCACTCATATATTAGCTATGCCATAAAGACGTCAGATACAAAATTATATATTTTTGAAACAAAAATAAAAGTAGAAGATCTTTTAGCCCCTTATGGCCGTGGAGGAAAAATCGGATTATTCAGGGGAGCTGGGGTGGGTAAAACAATACTCATTATGGAATTGATTAACAATATTGCCAAAGCTATGAACTGAGGTTTTCATCTCCAACATCACTAATGCCAAACTAGAATCATAATTAACAACGGCCCACCCTCTGTTGTTTACAAAGGCAAAAGTCATTTTAAAAACTGCAGAATACACAACAGAAGCTTCCAAAAATAAACAAGGGGAAATATCAAATAAGTCCTATTTTTCATGAAATATTATGGGAAAATAAGGATTTATTGGAAAATTCACAATAAATAAACAGATAAAAATAGAAAAAAAATGGCATGCATATGCCAACACAATCAAGACCTATGATATGAAGGTAAAGAAGAAGGAATGATTACATGAGTAAATTGAATGCTTCTACGTCTGATCACATTGCAAGACAACAGTGTAAAGCTGAAGAAAAATCTGTCATGATTATAGTACCTAATAACAGCGAAATATCTCAAGATGTATCGAGAGAAGTGAAAATTGGATAAAATGGGTCATTTCATGTAGAAAAAGCTGCTCCATTTATGTGACGTACACTATTATTGAAGGCCATCATGGTAAATATACATGGAAGTGGAACTGAAAAAATTGCATCCATCTATACATGCACAAAAATAGTTTCAGAGTTCAATGACAGAAGCACAGGATACAGCATAAAGTAAGGATGCAGATTTAAATTGAAGCTTATTACTCAATTCTGATGTGAGCGTTCTTTGAAGGCCACGTTTTGTAGCACTTATAAGTCAACTTATTTAGCTTATTAGCTTCTAAAAAAAGCTAACTAATGGTGTTCGAATGCAATTTTAAATTATAACATATTTGACATTTTCAGCTTATTTGACCCAAAAAGTGAGATTTTTTAAGCTATTACTTGAAGCTTTTTCGGCTTATTTGGAACTCTTAAACATGTATGGACATAAAAGTCCTATCTCTTTTATCATAATTATAACTTTTGAGGTCATTCTAGATATTTGCATAACAAAAAAGTTATGTAACATCTTATTTAACCAAACATGTTTAACTTCTACAACAAATTATTAAAAGCTACACCAAACTGATTTACAATTTATTTAAAAAACAATTAGGCTAATAATCTAAAAAAATTATAATCATAAAAGTTCACTTATAAGTGATTCCAAACAGGCCCAAAATAACCTCCTCAAATAGTGGAGCTACAAGTAAAACAATCCTGCTGTCAAAATTCTCTACATGGTACATCCCACTCAAACAAAACTAAAAATAACTTCTAGCAGGGTCAGCCATACCAAGGTGTTGATGAAGCTTTGGATCAACAGCTTTCATTATTCCTGCGAGTGTACTCAACTGAGACTGCACCCCTATAGAATGCGCATTGGACCTGAAATTTTCTCTCTTTCAAACAAAAGCAGGGAAATGAGTCCTAAACCCAAGAAAAAGTTTGAAAGATGAAAAGCACTATGACTTACAGTTAAGAAAATAAGATGCAACTTTGAGAGGAAAACCAACAAAATCAGGTAACCCTGCCCTAAATAATAGGTTTGGTAAATGTGACATACTTGAGTAGTCAGGGTCTGTAGTAAAAAAAACTAAAGAAGAACCTTCAAAGTGCCCTAATTACTGCATACATGTAAACCAACCACAACCTAGAAAAATGTGAGGCACTCCCCTACGAGTTTGTCACCCACTTGGCCTGCCAACAAAAAGCTAGAAATCAGGGCTGAAGTTAACAATTCTACCCAACAAAACCTTAGTCCTATTAATTGCAGGCATGGCCTGATTTCGTTTGACAATTCTGCCCTATGAGAAACAACTACTATCAGATAGTAGGACTTCTACACTCCAGGTGTTCAGGAACTAGCTATGCAATAATGCTGATATCCCAAAAATTGAAACCAAAAGGCAAAAAAAGTACACCCATCCCATTGGTATTCACTACCAAACCCAACCAACTCAAGTAACCGCTTTTCACTAAAACAGATTAATTCTACATTCAAGAATGAAGGAGCAATTAAATAAAGTAGGCAGTTGGGTCACATTATTAGTTTTAAAAACAATGTCACCTTTGACAATGAAAATAGATGCATACCAATCTGCGCATTGCCCGCTCAAAACACCAAAAGGCGTCTGCTTCGTTTTCCATAAGAATAACCATTGGAGAGCAAATATCATTCATTCCTGTTCAAGGAAAAAAGTGTGAAAACCATTGAAAATACCTAAACATAAAACAGTTTCAGCATAACTGTCCTTGGATTCAGGGGAACTCACCTTGAACATATCCAATAGAATTATCAACCCAAGCATAAATGGCAAGAACGTTCCAAAGTTTCGTCTGATTGGCTTCACTCTCATAAAAGATGAGAGCACGATCAGTGCGTATAACATCCAAACCTACATCCCAAATTTCACCAGTCATGTTAAGAAGAACGGGAAGTCAATGAAAAGATTATTCCCAACAATAAAATCACCCTAATAGAATATGCATTAGAATACTGGTGGTGAATTCAAATGTAACAAGGACACTCCTAGTTTAGTATTTTGGCACCAATATGGCAATTCAATATGCCCTGAGGTATCCTTTTGACACTTCAAAAGATGCATCAACGTATCTATAAATTATTGACAAGTAGAAACTACTTAAGGGCAATGTTATCCACAATCCAATTTAGGATTACTTATAATAACACATTGCAGTGGTGTTAAAGAAGCAAAAAAGTGGAGTGAACAGTGCAGTACCACAATAACAAAAAAATAAAAAAATAGAAGAAATTTACCTATGAAGCACGGGTACGGGTACGGGTACAAGTACTGGTATTGGTATGGTACGGGTACGTCGATACGCTAAAATCTAAAAAAAAATAGGATACGGGTACGGTTTGGTACGCTTGTAAAAAAATATTTATTTTTAATTTAGAGTAATGTAAAAATTAATTAAATAGTTTGATTTGTTAAGATCCAACCTATAATTAACATTTAATGACAAAAATAAAGGTATAAATCAAAATTAAATGTCAATATATTAAATAACTTACAAACTATAGTTTAATTTTAAATCATGCCAAGTATAAAACTAAAAATTAAAAAAAAAAAGTTTAGGAAAATGAGTTTTATCTTTGTAGTAGAAAAAAATATTATTTCAACTGAGGTACGGTACGGCTTGACTATACACTAAGTACGTCTGGGTACACCAAAAATTTAGAAGAAAAAATTTGGGTACTTTTTTCGTGTACCCGGTACGTATGCAAAAGTACCATACGAGGTACCATATGCCGGTAAGTACCCGGTACAGGTATGGCATGTTTTTCGAAGTACCCATGCTTCATAAAATTTTACTGAAGAATCAGTTTTGCACCAGTTACAAACCAATTTGATGCAAGCCAAGCTTCCACTGAGTCACTTTCTTGTCTAAACCAGCATCATTAGTAGACATGGCTTCACTGTCATCTCCTAAATCACTGTTGGTTGAAGGATCGTTGATTGGTTGGCCATCATCAGTAATTATAGGTGTCGTAATAAACTTCCCACTACCAATTATAGGTACCATCTTTCGACATTCTGCCTTCCATGCTTCATACTGCTCCCTAAGAAGATCAATTAATGAATTTAGTATAAATGTTTAGACGTAAACCAAGATTTTAACTATACAGTTCTGTATACACCACCATACACAAATATGCAAATAATGAGTTTTGTCAGTATCTTATGATACATATGATTCAATATCTGTAGAGGTAAATTGATACGTACCAATAACATACGATACACAATACATAACGCAATACACATGATACATGAATAGTTTAATTTATACATTGTTGGGTCTTGGGAGAAGTAGTTATTATTAAAGATAAAAAGACTCACTACTTAATAATAATAATAATGCAACTCAATACCATAAAATCATTGAATAACTTATGTCTAGAACCAACAAAATAAATTACTTCAAAAGTCCAATTTTTTTATGGACATTGGGTTGGTCCGGAAACCAAAACACAAGTGTGTGTGAATAACACTTTTGATGGATTGATGGCATGATACCCAATCCAACTCATGTTTGAAAACATAAATTTAATCCCTACAGAGTATAATTTCATGTGTATATTTTTCAAGGTGAACCATAATTTGAGGAAAAATAAAATATTACCTCCGCCGTTGCCTGAGCTCATTTCGTTCATCGAAAGTGCTGTTGGGATCAAAGCAACCCAACAAGAACTCCCAAACAACCCCTTTGATTGATGGATGAACACCCTAAAATGAATAATAAAGAGGCGCCAATGATCAGTAGTAATGCCAATAAAAAAGTGCCAATGATAATTATTTGGGTTCGTTTGGGAATTGGCTTTTTTAGTAGTTTTTTGTGTTTTAACAAAAAGACGTGCAAACAAGTAGAGAAAATGAATTGACGTTTTGTATTGACTTTCTAACTTTTTGGCTATTTTAATGTTCTAGTTTAATATTCCACCAAAATGACAAATAGGCACATTCAATGCCTGTAAGAAATATATAGGCTAGCATGACAAATGCACTAAATTAGTGTCAAAAAGCGTACCGCAAATTAAAGTATCTTAATGATTGCCCACCATAGGTAGTTTGAATTTTTAGAAGCTAATAAAGATGGTAAAACTAGTAGATAAAAAAATGAAGATACGAGTAGCTAAATAGTTGTACATAGAAAATCAAACAATAACAGATAAACTCTACCCCTTTTTGTATCCTCTTAAGCACCCCTGCAATATCCACATGACCATCTTGGGACAATGCAACTTTCCATCTTCTTGCACTAAGAGTTTTCCGTACCTGCAGAAATAGATAGGGAAAGGAAGCACATTATGAGAACCTAATCCTGTATAAGCAAGCACATTATGAGAACTGAATCCTGTATAAGCAAGCACATTATGTTAGCACACGACTAAAATACAGTATTCCCAGTGCACAACAAAGCAACACATCCTTCTACCCAAAACAGAAAATAGCACAAAGATATCATGGTTTGAGGTTTCAACATTATCATTCAAATAGGGAAAAATGTGAGATACTAATGAATTTGCAATGGATTAAAATCTTCCTATGCATTACTTTGAGAATATGATCATACTGGGCCTGTGATGCATTGCTTCAAAAATATAGTTATGTGTTTCTTCCACTCTTCTGTAATCTTTCCCCAACTTTTGTGTGGAATGAAGTTATGACGTGTAATTGATGGACCGAAAAAGTGAAACACTTAGGTAGCATTTGGTTTACTGGAATGATTTTGGGCAGACATGGAATGACTATTCCTTTGTCTTGCAATGGAATCAACATTCCCCTAAATTGGTGAATAGCTTTTCCATTCACAATGTACATTTCTTTTGTTTTTATCGAACCAAACATGGGAATGAATAATCCAACAGAATAACCATTCCATTCCGTTCTTCATTCTAGTGAAACAAACACTAATGAAGAGGAAGCAAATACAACAAATGAAATAAAACAAGAATTTGCTGAAGAATTAGCACCCAATAAATATAAAAGCTGAGATATATAACTAGGATAAAGAAAATCATAATAGTAACATGTATGCACACCTTGGGCTTGAAATGGGTCTTCGGTACATCGCCTTGGTATTCGGGTCTAACCGCAAAACGAGAATCCAACTCCTCAGCTGTTGAATTCCTGATAAAGAACCCTGCTATTCCATCACAACAAAGCATTCAATGAGTCTCTAACATCATTCTTCCCCAGCAAAGCAAAACCAAACCCTAACAAGCCTTACAAAGAAAATAGATACATACACAGAGAATTATCCATATCTTTGTGAACATTGGCCTCAAGTTTGAAATTAAATTAATACCACTGAAGTACTGATAATTTGAGATCATTGTAGACAAACCTTCCTCAAACAAGGTGATAAATGAATATACATTTATATAAATAAACAGATATATATATATATATAGAGGCTTGTTTCTATGAATCCATTGAATCAACAAGAAACTCAGAAGATGAACAAAAACAAGTAATACATTTAAATTTATTATTTTTTTTTTTTGTAAATACAACAACGTTGTTCGATAATGGTACGCACTTGTACACATGGAAACGAGCGGAGATTTGGATTGCGATGTCAAAAGATACAATTAGGGTTTGATCCGATCGAGAGGGATTGAGATACAGAACAACTATAATTTGATTTTGTATGTACAGTATGTACAAATAATATATATATATATATACAAATTTTGCTATTTTTTAATCGCTTTACGTTACTTCGCAGTTAGCTTGTCTTTTTCTTCAATTGCACTTTTGAATATTTGGATTTTTTATTTTGTTTTATATTTTTAGGAAATTAAACTTACCTCCTCTAAAATTTATGACAATTACAGAAATCTCTTTTATAATTTTAATAATTGTATTAATTTTTTTTACTTTGAAACTATTATCAAGATTCTTTTAATCCACTAATTTAGCACAAAACTTTTCTATTTAAAATGACTATATTACCCCCTTTGAATTGAGCATGAAGAAATAAAAACCTATTTAAATGAAAATTTCACCTACCACTCCTGCGACTTTGCATATATATTACTAAAGATCTATATATGTTTTAGAAAAATGCTTGGGACCTCTTTTTTTTAGAACCCTCACAACATCTTTTGGATCTCAACTATTAATGTATGTGTGGGACCCACTCATATATGTGTGGGGTCCACACCATCAATGGTTGAGATTCGAAGGAGATTGTGGGGGTCTCAAAAAAATGATATCTCAATCATTGTACCCAAAAAAAAAAAAAACTAAATATTTATCAATTTTAATTAATGCATTTATTATTTAAATTTATTTTTTCTTTTCCTTTTTTAATTTGAAACAAATGAATTAAAAAAAAAAATCAGCAATTTGTCCTATTTATTTATTCATATGTAAGAAAATTATTTATCCCTAAATTGTTAAGATATTATTAACAAATTTTAATTTTTATCTTTGAGTCATTAAATTTATAGTCATTAAATTTATAGTCGATACATATTTATCTATACTATTATATTATTAAAAATGAACACCTCACCTGGTGTTCATGAACTTCCTTTTCTTCTTTTACCAAGTGACTTTCTCTATTTGTGCAAAGTGTTAATTTTTCCATCCAATCCATCCCAAAAAAAAAAAAAAAAATAGTAGTAGTAGTTAGAAGAGAGATACAAGACTTAAACCTAAAACCTTAACTTACTAAAAAATATATTCATCACTTAAACAACATAAAATATATATTATGAATTCAAAATTAAATTTTATATTTAAAGCTCACCTATCAAGTGAGCTCACACTCCTAATATATATGTATATATACAAATTTTGTTATTCTTTAGTCTGTTTATGTTCCTTCACACTTCGCTTGACTTTTTCTTCAATTGCACCTTTCGAATATTTGGGCTCACACTCCTAATATATATACAAATTTTTGTTATTCTTTAGTCTGTTTATGTTCCTTCACACAGCTTGACTTTTTCTTCAATTTCACCTTTTGAATATTTGGGCTCACACTCCTAATATACATATATACAAATTTTGTTATTCTTTAGTCTGTTTATGTTCCTTCACACTTAAGCTTGACTTTTTCTTCAGTTGCACCTTTTGAATATTTGGATTTTTTTTAGTAAATTACACTTACTTCTCCTCAAATTTCAGACAATTACAAGAATCTCTCTTATAATTTTAATAATTATACTAACTTTCATTATTTTTGAAATTATTATCAAGATTCTCCTACACAAATGTCGTTACTTTTCTATAAAAAATAACTATATTGCCAATTTGAATTGAGCGGGAAAAGATAAAGAAACTATTTAATTGAAAATTTTCACTCACCTGATTTTACATATATATTATTAAAGATCTATACATATTTTAACTTAAAACCCTAATAGTTTAATATAAGACCCTAATGATTAATACAATACTTATAAGACTTATTTGATATTCAAATTTATAATGATGGAGGGAAAGATATTCAAATTAGTAATGATGGAGTTACAACGGCTATAAATTCAAATGAGTAGTTCAAAAGGTTCAAGTGGAAGATATTCAAATTAGTAATGATGACTACAACGGCTATAAACGGCTATAATTTTCATTATATATACCAAAACCTCTAATGTAAAACAAGTTACAAAAAAAACTTGAAAATATTCTTTGATCTATAATCACTCACATCTATTATCTGAAAAATTCTCTGAGAAGTATTCTTTAATTTTTTTTTACATCCTCTCTCAGAAATTATACACTGAGCCTTATAGCTTTAAACTCATATTTCTTGTGTAAGGTTTACAAAAAAATCAAAGTTTCATTTTTATATCTATCTTTAAGAGATAATTCTTGTAACTTTCTGTGAAAACAAAAACACCTTATTTTCAACCTTGTAAGAGTGTAATACACTCAGTATTCTTGACTTAAAAAGTCTGTGTAAAATTCGTGGAGAATTGCTCAATTTGTAAAGAGGTTGCTAGCACCCCCGTGAAGCTAGAGTATAGTGGAAAATCTCAAGTGATAGACGTAGGCCGAGTTGAAGCCAAGCCACTATAAATTTGTTTGCCTCTCTCTCCCTTATCTCTTTATTTTATTTAAATTGTTGTAGCTACATTTCACATTTTCACTGTACTAAAATCATTAACTGACATAGTTGTTAGAACACTTGTTTTAATTATTTTTATTTCATTAACTATATTTATCTATTGTACTAGTCATAATTTTTATTAGGGTATTATTAATTTTTAATTGTAAAAACTTAATTCACCCCCTCTTAGGTTGTCTTTTGGGTAACATCACGCTATGTAAATAGCTAAATATAAACAACAAATGGATTTTTTTTAAAGCAATTTGTCCTATTTATTTATTCATATGTAAGAAAAATATTTATCCCTAAATTGTTAAGATGTTATTAACAAATTTTAATTTTTATTTTTGAGTCATTAAATTTATGGTCGATACATATTAATCTATTCATGAATTTCCTTCTCTCCTTTTACCAAATGGCCTTATCTACTCGCGCCAAGTGTCAATTTTTTCATCTAATCTATCCCAAAAAATAAATAAATAAATAGCAGTAAAAAGAAGGATATAAGACTTGAACTTAAGACCATTCACTTAACTTGTTAAACAACATTTTCATTACTTAAACAATATAAAAAATATATTATGAATTCAAAATTAAAATTTATATTTAAAGCAAACCTATAGAGTGGGCTCACATTTCTAGTATATATATATATACATACAAATTTTGTTATTTTTTAATCGGTTTATGTTCCTTCGCCGTTAGTTTGCCTTTTTCTTCGGTTGCACCTTTTGAATATTTGGATTTTTTTTTTAGTAAATTATACTTGCCTCTCTTTAAATTTTAGACAATTGGTTATCCGATCCGATAATCTGAATTTGATCCATTTATTTATTTATTGAGCTATAATTTTATATAATTTGAAAAAAAAAATTCATTTTGTGTTTTTTTATTCAAATTGAGAATAATCAGATCGGATTGTCGGATTATCGGATCGGATCGGATTTTTACAAATTCAATCCGTTTAATAAACTGATTAAACGGATTCGGATTAAACGGATTATTGGATCGGATTTTTTTGTAAACGGATTCGGATTATCGAGTTAGATTCGGACCGGATTCGGATTAAATCCGATCCATTGACAGTCCTAAATTAAAGGAATCTCTATTATAAATTTAATAATTACACTAATCTCCATTACTTTTGAAATTACTATCAAGATTCTCCCTATCTATTAATTTAACACAAATGCCGTTACCTTTCTTTAAAAAAAATGACTATTTGCCCCTTTAAATTGAGCGGGAAAAGATATAAATTATTTAAATGAAAATTTTCACTCACCTCTCTTGAAATTTTACATATATATTATTAAAGATTTATGCATATTTTAACTTAAAACCGTAATAGTTTAATATAAGACCCTAATAATTAATACAATATTTATAAAACTTATTTCACACTATATAAACAACTAAATATTTGTCAATTTTAATTAATGCATTTATTATTATTTTTTTTAAGTTGAAAAAAATGGATTTTTTTTTCCCTGCAATTTGTCCTACCTATTTATTCATATGTAAGGAAATTATTTATCCCTAAATTGTTAAGATATTATTAACAAACTTCAATTTTTATCTGCGAGTCATTAAATTTTTAATCAATGCATGTTTAGAAATAAAAAAAAAAAGCTCAAGTTATTCTTACATGATTAAAAAAATTAAAAAATAAATATATAAGTAAAAAAATCTAATCACCTTGCAATAAATTAAAATTAGTTAATAGAAAATGAAAAATCAAGAAATCATTTGAGAATAATAAACAATTCAAACAATTTCTCATTTCTTACACCTAAAATTAAAATTAATCTTCACTTGAATGGAGAAATTGTTTTTGGGATACTAAAATACTCAATTAATTTGTTGTATGATACTTAAAATATATTTCTCCATTTTTTATTTTTCTCTTTTAAACTATTTTTATTAAATTAAATCTTAAAATTAATTTCTCACCTTCATTAATGGTTAAATTTTTATTTTATTTTTTAATTTCTCACCTTTATTTTATTATATTATTATTTATAGTGAATTATTATTATTTAAATTTTCTAATTTACTTTTTTTTATTATTATTTGGATTGGGCTTGAATTGAAGATTTAATGAGAGAAATCGAAAGGGAAAATGAAATGTAATCCCAAACACAGCCTTAGTGAATTTATCTGGCCTAAGTTTGTAGTTCCGATGGACCGGGCCTAGTGATATTGGGCCTGGAGCTTAGGTTTGAAGGCAAACCACTATTCTACTTATTTGGTTTTGGTTTATAGAAAACACTTTTTAAAAAATTTTACTTTTTTATTTTTTGTATTTTTTAGTTTTCAATAATTTTTTTAAAAAAAATTTAGATACACCTAATATAACTGCACATAAAAAGTATAATATTTGTGAAAAAAATATTTAAAAAATTTACTAAATACACAAAATATTAAAAAAAATAAATGAAAATTCAGTACATTTTTCATATTTTTGTGTATTTGTTAATTTTTTAAAATATTTTTTCATAATTTTTTACTATTTAGATACATTTAAGTAAGGTGCATTTAAAAAAGTAAAAAAAATTGCTTAAAATTTTAAAAATATTCATTAAAAACAAAAAAAAAACATGAAAAACAAAAAGTTAAAT